CAAGGTTTTAACAGTACTGGTTACAACTAATCAGGGACAAGAAACAGTTGTGTATGGAAGTTTCTCACTTAAAGAAAATAACAAGTAAACTCCTTTTCTCACTGCACAGGCACTTTTGTTCTTTGGCCATGACGGCACAGGAGAGCTGCTGCTGCCTGCCCTCCTAAGCCCTTTGAAGAATTAAGCTGAAGTTATGGCTGGCAACAGGCACCAATGACAAATCAATTCTTGCCAGAGATGGATTTGGGAGATTCTGCAGGTGATATTACCCGCTGGAATAAGGAACAGATATGTCTCTAAAGGACAGTTAGTTACAACTACAGGTATTACAAAGGGATTTAAACCTCCCTATTGCTCGAGGAGGGGAAAAAGTGATAGTGAAGAAAGCATTTGAGTGAGAACATACAGGATAAAAACCAGAGGTGAAATGTAGGAGCCGCTCTATAGACTGGTTGGAGAGCAAAGCAGACTCCTTTCTCTGTGCCCCCTCCCGGTTTTAATAATGGAAAAATGTATCCAAGAAACTGTGAACCTAATAGTAACCAAGACGTATGACTGCTGAGAGGAATTACTGAGTAAAGCAGAGTAAGGCTACAAGAATTTTAAAACCGTCAGAGTGAATTGGCTGATCTGACAAACAATGTATAAGCTAGAGTTATCACTGACATCAACACAACTGCCTTTTTTTTTAATTCTTACTATTCAACATGAATCTTTGTTTATCCATTTAATTTGCAAAAGTCAAATCCAAAATTACAACCGTAAAAAATTCTGATACCCCACATTCTCTAAATAAACTAGGATAGTTTCATTTTTACCTGGTTTTGGAGCAACCCAACTGAAATAATTTCTTATAAAATAAAAATACCATTTTTCATACTTCCCCTACTGAAATGCTCAATAAAGAAATTAAAGATGCAATGCAATATATATTTTCTAAGAAAAAGATGCCAAATTGGATAATAGTGATAATTATAATCATAGAGGTCTTTGATAAGATTGCATTTCTGCTACTTTTTGTGTTTTTATTGCCCTGTCCTTTTAGATTTTGTTAAAAATTTTAAACTCAAATATTAACTGAAAAAAACTCAAAGTTCAATTGCACAAAACTCAAATGTTTACCATTTTACCCTGAATCTACATACATACCCAGATATGTAGCAACAGAATAAAAATACACTTCTTTAGCATCCCCCTTTTTATACAGGGTGAGAAGGAAAAATCAGATGAATTTTCAAAAGCACTTAAGTGATATTAGAAATCTAAATGCCATTTTAAAAAGTAGCTTTAAAAAGTCAGATTGCAGTGAGAATTGTGAAATTTTTAATTGCAAATTTCCTTCTGAGAATTCAACAGCACACTTAGCGAAATTACTGGGTGTTTCTGTATTTTTGAAAGTCTGACTCTTACGACCTTCGGCATTTATTATAAACTGTAGAGACTTCCACATCTAAAAGCATTCATCACTTTTGAAAACAGGACCTTTCCTAGGCTAATGATTGTGCTTTGGAGCTGCAGACACATTCCTCAGGGAGCATGGTGCGGACTCAAAGCACAGAAGACCCTCCAGCTCCGCCCTCTTGACATGCTTTCTCTAAAAGGGCTCTGAGAACTCAGTCTTGCCATGGAGTCTCAACCCGCTGTCCCAGGAGATAACCTGCTTTCAGCCTATCAGTTTTACCAGCTTTATCCATCTGTTTTGTCCTGGTAAGTTCTGCTAGTTACAGATATAAATTTAAACAGCGCCCAAAGTATTTTGTGTTTCAACTTCCACCTCGTCTCTTTTGGGTGTGGGATTTATGCCCTTCTCATAAGGACATAAAGAAGAAAGAAAGAAAACTGGGAGAAGCCATATTCATGGCACAGACAGACACAATTACTGGATTCCTATCAGCCCAGTGATGTTTGCAGAATTATGTCTGGTTTTACCAGTTCTGAATCTCCTGTATTATGGAGCAGGTTATGTCATAAATATTTATGTGAGCAAATCTAGTATTCATACTGCTAAATCATTAGATTTACTGATTGAGTCCTATTAACAGTATTGGTGCCAATTTTTGTCAGCATGTAAAATGCAACGTGCAGGATGAAGAAAAATTCTAAGTTTTTTGGTGACAACTCCTTCTCCCCTTTCAGGCACCTCTCACAACTTAACACCTCTTGAAACCCCTGAAACATCAGGAGTAAACTGATTTCAACTTTTTCCTGTCAATATTGCAAGCACCTCCCTGCAGGGGGCGGGCGGAAGTGTTCAGAAAGGCTTACAGAGATAATGTTTACTTAGGCTGTATCATTGATTAGGAACGTGGCCAAGACCAGTAATTACAACCGTGCTAAATTGCACGGAAATTCTGTAACATTGACATTTCACGGGAAGCAAGGTGCAAAGTTGAAGGAATAAAAGCCAACGCTGAGTTTTCTTACCTAATGATTTCTAGTGTGTCTGCTGAGAAAAATGCTTATCATGGACCCGGCTGATGTAGACAGCCAGAATGGGCCTGACAGAAGAGCTGCACATCGGCTCCCACCAAGAGCCTCCAGTGGAGAAGCCGGACAAGAACACTAACCCAGCACTTCCAAGACATCCACACACCTTTTCCATCCCTCCAGGGATGGGGACTAAACCGTTTCCCTGGGCAGCAATGACCCTCCATTCCTAACATGGATTGGTAGACAGGTTTCAGTCAACTCACAGAATCCACAAATCTCAACAAAGCAAACACAAGTCCACTGCTGCACTTCTGCCACCCCTTTAGAAGCCCAGAGGGTCCCAATCCTCAAAGCTTCATTTGATCACAAGCAGATTTCACCCCTGTTGGGGTGAACAGCTCCCACTGCAGACTTGCAAGCACAGTGAGGTGACGTCTGCTTGGACAATACGATTGGCAACTCTGTCTTTTAAACAGGTTTTTTTTTCCTCCCAATTCCTTTCTCAGGACAGTTAGCAAAATCCTTTACCATTACCAAGTCTGATCTAAGTAGTAAACAAAGATAATTAAATTAATGTCATTCCCAGTAAGAGTTAGAAGAGAAATTGCAAGCTAAGCAGCTGCCACTTTCCTAATAAATCAAAGTGTTATATTGAAAGAAGTTTTCCAATAACATATATTGACTTTGTCAGGTTTGGGTTGTGTTTTTTTTTACCCAAGCAACATATGTTGCATGTTCTGTACTTGTGGGGCTAAATACACACAAGTTTCCTTGCAGTCTCTGACTATTGCCAAACAGATGTTGAGAAAAAGCAACTTAAAACAACATGGGATAAAATCTGTCTCAGATCAAAATGTTGGCTTAAGAAAAATCTTGTGGGTAATGCAGTATACTAAAAGCATTGATTATATATTTATATACAGAATTGATAGGCAGCTGAATTAATGGTTGACTACATTTGTTGAAATCATGCCATTAAATAGAAAAAAAATATCAAATACTAAAAATTATGTAAAAGGCTAGCAACTATATAAGTTTTTTAAGTTCCAAAGTATTCATATAATTCATTTCAGTTAAAGTCCAGATTCTCACTAATATACTAATAGTAGACTGAAATCATTTGACAAGTGATGAAGAGTTTGAAAAGGGATGTTTTTAAACCACTCTTTGAAATAATAAAATGGCAAGCAACTCCCAGTCCCCAAAGACAAAGTATTATCCTGAGTTTGACAGACATGTCACCAATTTGCTGTAATTTGTATAATATCTAATCTCAGGGCTTAGTTTATTCCAATACTTTTGTCATGACTAAGCCTAATGACAGCATTCAGTTCAATTGACTCTCTGAAAAGACAAAGAAGTTAATTTTTTACATAAAAAGAAGAAAAATCAGCATTTTTCATCACCTGTACCCTTTCCCATTATGAAAATAATTAGTCTGTCTAAAGTAGAGTCAGTTCAGCACATGAAAACTGACATGAAATCCTGCATATTTATTTTTTTCCCTTGCATTTAGTAACAGTGTTGGCTCAAAACACTGTATTAACCACATCAGGATTTAGGACTTGATTTAGCAGATACAATAAAAGACAATATTGTTAGAACACTCCTGTGGTTACTTTCAAATGTATTTCTGCTTTACTCAAGAAGACTTCTTTGGATGACCATGACAACAATCTTTTCTAACCTCAGGTTTGTAAGTTCTGCTGCTCCTGAACTGGTACTGATCAAAAAATCTGTAATGCATTGCCTTTATCATGAGAAAGGAACTTTCTGTTCCAGAAGCCAAAATAAGCTACTCTGCCCCCTCAAATAACTTTCAAAATTTGGAAGGAAAACTTAGTTTCTCCCACACTCACCGCTAAAGAAAAGTGATTATACTCTAATATGAACATGTTATATAAACTTTCAAAGCAGTGAAAAGATTCCACATGGAAAAAAAAAATAAAATCAAATCCCAGTCAGCAGATATTTTACAACAATTTATATTCTTAAAACAGATTATAAAGAATAAAAAATAAACAAATCGTGGTCTTTCAGAGTGCAAAGGCCAATTTTTTCATCCTAAAGCAATGCAGACTAAAGGTTTAATTCACCATTTAGATAAAACCACAAGCTAGGCTTCATTTTTGTGCCAAAAATTTGTCAGGAATTTTTTTTAAGCACCAAATATTACAAAACATCATATAAACCTTGCTTTTCAACAGTGTTATTTGGGAATCAGTTGGACCTAGGACAGCTGTTCTATTGTTTATATTTCTATTCACTTTGAATAATCTATGTTTTTCAATTCATGTACATTAAAGATAATAACATATTTAGTAATAGAACATTGCTAAAGCAAAACTATTGTGATTAACACAAATTTACATTATTAAAAATTCAACTACTTTTGTATATGAGTAAATTCCACTAGTTTTCTTATGAAAGTTTCCCAAGTATCATGAGAAAACTGAACATGAAGAAAAAGTCAAGGTTTGTAAATATGATTCCACATAAAACAAATCACATAAAGCCTTAACACTGACACCTAATTGCATTTAGACAAAAAAACATGCCAAGGTACATACCTGTAAATCTGTTGAATGTTTTCAGCTTTGATTTCCTTGAGAATTTCATGGTAGATATGAGGATTATTTGGTTCTTGAGATGCTGGGGGAGAGGGGCATTTCTTGCGAGCATAATATCCTATCACAATTCCAAAAATAAATAAAATCAAAGCAGTGCAAAATACTTTCAGTATCCGAAAAAAACTGCAGCGATTGCTCTTTGGTGCCTGTCTCGTGTAGTGTGAGATGTAGTCGGGGTCTTCCTGAAGCCTCTGGAATCTTCCCTTGGGAGAAGATGAAGCCTGGATGGGCTCGAGATCAAGGTCAGGGCTCTGGGAGTTTCCCAGGTGATGCTGGACTGCACTATCCAGTCGGAAATGGTCAAAGCCAGGCTCCTCCAGCTCTTTTTCCATGTCCCATTCCAGTTCCAACGCTGTGGCTTGGAGTTCATCGTTGTCAAGGTATGGAGAGTGCCCCTGTGCTCTCTGGTCTGCATTCACTTTGTGATAGGCCATCTTTTTATCTATTAGAACAAAATTTTAAAAAAAATCACAGATGTTTGTTTCCACATGCAAACATAAGTAATTTATTTATTCTTTGTAAACGTGGGAGAACTAAACATAGACAATAAAAAGTAAACACTGGGTTCTCAGTATTTCACTTTCCCCATTTCCATCGTCCTGTCTTCTTTTGTAGGATCAGCAGTCCCATGAACACTATCAGTGTGGAAAGAAGATATTTAAGAGAATATATTGTAAGAATATGAATAAAGGGAATTTACAAGTGCCAGTGGCAAACCACAGAAGTTATCCAATTATTGTCAGTCCTCGAGATAATATAAAAAAATTGAGTGAAGGTACAGAGTTTCCAAAACAATTATTTGTTACCTGAAAGTAATTTTAAAGCTTAACAACTGTGTGTATCAATTTGATTTCACACACCATTCAAAATAATGCTGCTAAAATAAAGTAGAAAAATTAGAAATAATATAAATTGCCTGATGTGATTCTAAACACAAGGAAATGGTAAGTTAAAGAAATTTCAGGGTGACACTATACTTACACATCAATAAAAGGCTTCCATTTAGATGGAGCATTCTATTATTTATAGGTATTTTAAATGCATAGTTCCTGAATGACTGATGAATTTACTTAGAAATTGTCCCAGCTGTTTTGCTCCACTTATTTTTCCCATTTTAATGAATCAAAAGCACTGCCAGGTAAGTATTTGTAACAAAATCATTCCTTTAATAGCAAGGCATAACTGTGGCACTTCTAGATATTTCTATGGAAGCAGAAGCCTCTAAAGAGAACTCTGACCTCCAGTACGAACACTCAAAGTCAATTTTCAACAAATCATTTTTAACAGACTGCAACAACAGGGTGCCTTTCCCTCCATACTTTGACAATAGCCATTCCAACACATAAGCATCTGTAATTTTGGGCTTTTCAAACATCAGACTCACTTCTCAATTAGAATAAAATTAAGATAAACCTCTCACAGTGATAAATACTAGACTGACACCTACAACACTATATTATCCCTCCATTTTTATGCTTTAAGGCATTTTCACTCTCCAAGACTTACCTCCAAATAACATTACTGAGGCCACGTAATAGATGAACCAACTCTAATGGCAAAGTAGAATTTCAGCTTTTTGAAGCTCTCAGAAGAGCGCAAAATGTTAGCAAGCTCTGATATAATGAAACAGCCTATTGTCCACTGAAAAGCTATCTGGCTCTATACAATACCAATTTACAGATCCTATTTTCCCTGTACAGCCATATAAATATCCCTGGCCTATAACTGTCAGGCAGCCCAGGAACAGCCAGGAGAGCCCACACGCTCCGAGTGGAGCTATTGCAGCCACTTTGCAAATCAATTCTCCACCTGCAGTCCAAACTCTTCTATATGCAGTGGAAGCAACAGAGTTTAGAGTGATCTGAACTAAAGCCTCTTAAATTATTGTGAAGGTCTGCATTACTTATTTAAATAACAATAACAAATTTGGTCTTTAAATTCCAGCTGAGTCAACAAATGGTTTACGCCTGCAAAGCCTTTGTGGCTGACCTTGTCAGCCCAACCCTCAGGTTTGTGAAGGATCCTCTGAACTACAGCTTTACTATCCCCACAGTTGTGCATCACCTCAAGATTTGTCAAGGGAGCACTCTGTCTCCTTATCCAGGTTGTTAAGGAAGATCTTTAGTAATGTCAGCCCCAGAACTGAGCCTTGGTGCACTAAGCTTCTTGCCAAGCACCAGCTGGACATAAAATGATGTATTAATATTCTCTGGAAAATTGAGCTAACTAATTTTCAAGCTATTTATCTGCCCTTTCACTCCATCTCCTCTTTTGCTAGTGGAGGGATTAATTTGCAAACCAATGAGAGATCACTACTAGATAATATCAACTGCCCAACAACCTCATCTTTTCAACTCCATTTCATACTGCTCTTTGTCAGAAATTGAAGACCAGTGTTTTGTCCTTTAAAGCAGAACAAATTATTACTGCATTCCATAAATATGTATTTTTGACTCTAGAACTCCTGAAGTCATTTAACAAACTGTTTTAGCCAAATAAGTAAATCCTTTGCAGATTAGCACTGTAATAGCCATAAACCAGGAATTAAGGCAGTTTTTCAGATGCAGTTTCATGGCTAATATTAATCTTGTTGAGCTTAAAAACATTGGCCATTGCCTAACTGCAGTAGTTAAGTTTTCCCTGTATTTATGACACTTTAAAAATGTATGTTATTGTTCAATTGAGTGTATTAATAAAGGGTATTTAAATCTACATATAAGTGCATAATAAAAATCCATATGAAATTTCTTCAAATGGTTGTTAATGCAGATGAGTAGCAACCACATTCCACAGCTTAGTATCTTGGCAGTTGCATTTTCATTCAAAGCACCAAAACCAGTTACCTCACTTCAGAAAAAAACCAAAAACACATAAGCAACTAAATGAACTAAAATTAAAAATCAATATTCAATTCAGTTTTATATTTGAAACCAGTCTTTGGAGTATGGGATCTTATTAGCAACGCATGTCTTTTAGTTAAAGAAGGCGAGGAATGCAAGAGTAGCTGCAGTTAACAACTTCACTTTTTCTACTGCTATTTCTAAGTTCGTTATTTGAGTGTAAGGACACAGCACAACTTACCTCAAAGTATCTGAGATCAGGGCCTACAGTCTATTGAACCATTTTAACAGAAAAGGGTCTCCTGGTTCTCAAGGCACAAGCCATTTGTGCTATGTAAACCACATTATTAGTTCTGTTTACCACTGGGTATTTAGCTGTTTAAGGAATTAGGCATGACTTAAAGACTAGATAATAAATGCAGTTTTGGGTGGAAATTAGAAGGATAAAGAGAACTCTACATAGTGATTTGAAAAAAAAAAAATTGACACTAAAAATATGGAAAAATTTTGAAGTCAAGAAAAACCACTACAATACCCTGGTTCATTCTTCTCTATAGCACAGACCATAAAATGAACATATTTCTGAAAGACATTTTTGAAAACTTCAGGAGACAGAAAATTCGTCCCATCTGCCAGCAAGCTGTTTCAACATTTAATTGTTGTTAAATACATGTTTTATTATAAAGATAAAAGAGCAACTGCAAAATGCCAGAAGTCTGAATATGCACCGAGTGAGCTTTAAAGCCATTCTATAGGGACAGCAAAGGGGATCATAAACTCTGGAATACTGGACAGAGCCAAGCTGATTACCAATAAAGTTGATGTGCATTTCTATACTTCCACTGATTTGTGGGGAGAATGTTTATCGAGAGGTATCAAACCAAACCTAAATATGCTTTCAATTAACCGTTCCCAAGAAATCAGGAGAGTTAGCTCTATCAGATTGTTATTGCCTTAACGAGCCCATTTCAAAACTATCCACCTGTTCTTCGACCTTAAAAATAATGCATTTACATCCTGATAGGTACATCTTGTTATGAAACCACCAGAAACTTCTTTTTTTTGACGGCCTTCCTGCTTCAATCCCTCACCAATCTGAAAACTACACAATAAGGTCAACATGGAACGTCCTGCATCTGCACCACTGCCACTCTCCAACACCTCCCCTAGAGAAAGGTCAGCTTATACAAACATTTTGTGAAACCAATAAGGAAAGAGCAATATGAATATGCCACAGTAAATTCTTTGTGACTGGTGCTGAAGTTGTTAAATCCAGTTCATAAACAGCTGAGACAATCAGCAGGCTCACGCACAGCAGGGAGTGTGGCTAGTGTCAACCTGCTGCCCCCAGAGAATCCTTCTCAGGTCATTTAGTGTCCATTACTGATAAGGCAAACTTCACCCAGCAACTGTACTAAAGGCATTGCAGCCTCTTCATGTAGTCACAGAACATGAAATCCGGGCTTGTTGGATCTCCTCATTTTAAGGGCTCTTTCATTTTTATTTTCTTCTCAGTATCTTCTATACAGAGTGCCTTTGCTCTAAGTCCTTGCAATCTTTTTGTGTCTAGGCAAACTCTCAAAGTAGATATGTCACCTGTTTAAAGCTGTAGTTTATCATGGAACTCAACATCTACTGCACTTAAAAGTCTTTAAAGTATATATGACAACAATTTAGTACTTTGCTAAATAAGATGATGCCAAGTTTCAGGTCTAGACAAATTTCTTCAGAGTTGTAAATCCCTGACAAAAGTTGTTTGCAGAAAAGACTATGATGCCCTTGTCAACAGCAAGGTTACACTACCCTGTAATTCAAAAAGTAATGTGATATTTCCATCACCACTGCCCTAATTTCCTGCAGTAATGATTTCTCCCTTTCATCATGTTTGGGATATGGGCTTGGCAACCAGTTCAGTTATAGCAGGACAATTAAATACCTTGTCACTCCACACAGCCACCATATAAAAACAAATGACAAAATTCACCAGTTGCTCGCATTCCACTGAAGATGAACCCAACCTGAAAGACCAAGCAGAGTGATAGCAGAAGACAGAACAGAGAGATCAGGCTGGAGAAAGAAGGTCTGTAGAACTCAGCCAAATAAACCCTAAATTGTCCCTTCATTAATAAGCGCTTTTTGGCACACATGAATGTTGTGGAATATTTAACTTCTTCAAAATCTCTCCCCGATTTTATTATATCATGAACAGCCATGTGCACCAGGACAGAATTAACATTAACACAAAGGATAACCACACGACAAGAACAGGGTCTACAGTACACCTTGATTGATAAGACTCGTGCACGACGACGTCCAGCTGGAACAAGATTTAACTTGCCTGGGATCAAACATATCAGCCACTTGAGCTATAATATCCTGGACTATCCAGATGTGCATAGGTACATGGATGTATTTGTCTGCTGCCTTTTCAGAACCTCTGAATTGCTGGGACTTAGAGAAAGAAGAATTGCTGGGAAGCTCCTTCTTCCCCAGCAGACAACTATCACATAAAGATGAGGCAGCCTTGGCTGGTCTCTAATATGCTGGGCATGTATTACTAACATAGATCTTTTCCATTCTCAGGCATGTTTAGTTTTCAAAT